TCAATGCTGAACCAAGTGTGGAGTCAGCGCAGGTGGAGGGAGGAGATGGGAGAGTGAAGGTGAAGGAATCTCAGAATGGGAAGGGAGCTATCGGTGTTAAGATGGCAGATGGGTTTTAGCCAGAAAAGCCAAACAGAGAGGTAGGCAGAGCCCAGAGCTGGGCTTGGTGACATGGTCCTGCTGCTAGGACAACAGTAGCACAAAGAGAACAGACACATCCAAACACACAGAGAACCAGCTCAAAAATGGGAAAAAATAGATTCTGTGCTTTCTCGTTGTCGCACCTGAAAATTAAACAGTGAAATTAAAGCCTACAAGTAAACTCCTCATAGAGGAAAACATTCTGGATCCCATGCCTGTGAAAAGCAAAGCTGAATTATAAAAATGAGTGATTATTTGCTCCTCAGTTGACTGTATAAATACATGTTGTGTGTGCATATTATTTTAAAATGTTATATATCTTAAGAAAATAGTGCATAATGCATTAAAATTAAATAGTACTTTAAAAATCAGCTTCAACTATGTATGCCCTTAAAATAAAAGGTAGTTTAAAAGAAACTCATGCTAAAAGAATGTCAAGAGGTCTACTTTCTAGAGGATATTAAATTATTAAATACAGAATATATTAAAATAGTATTGGTCTGCTTGCCCACTCTGTGGAAAACAGTAAAATAAAAAACCTACATGATATTTCTTTTTAAAGGGCCTGTATTTTTCTACATACCTTTTAAAATTAGTGAAATAAAACCAAGCAAAACACCAACATAAAGACCTCTTTACATTTATATTTAGTTGGTTAAAAGTAAAAGGAAAAAGCAAGGACTCGAGAAACTTCTCACTAAAAACACCTGTCCTATCCACCTATCTTAATCAAACAATTTCCTACCAAAACATGACAAAGGAGAGAGAGTTAAGATGTTTAAAACATTCTCTAGAACAGGCAGGTTACAAGGTGTAAAGAAATGATCCTTCCCAACCATAAGCTACCAGAAGAAGGTATACCTGGGGATCCAATATGAATCAGCGAGTTCTGCTTTGGCTCTAGTACACAAAACCATGGGCGTGTGCACCTAAGAAGTTAGGCATTTTAAATAATAAAAATCAAATAGGTTGCAAAAAAACCTCACATAAAATCCTTAGGATTTAATATTAAATCAAGGCTAAATGCCTTTGGAGAATTCATATTTAAGAATGTCCCAAATAACACTTCATTCTCAAATTTAAAAATAGTTGAAACGTCAACTGAAATGCTTGTTAAATACAATAAAGTATCTACACGTTTCTGCTAATTAATCTAAACCTCTTGTGGCTTCTTCCTTCATGGAGGGGCTCTTGGTCCCGTCACATCTCGCAACCCCTCCATAAGTTAATTTCCCTTTTTAGAATATGTCACTCACAATTTTGTAAATAACCAATAATATCTTTCAAGTTTTTTCCCTCCCCCACCCCTTGTCCTCCTTCTCCAATAAACAAATAAAGGGGGTGGGGGTGGGAAGCAGGGCTAGAGCTGACTAAAGTCAAACGGGGTCTACCAGTGCACACATGAAGCCAGAGCTGAGTCCTACAAGGAAGGAGGGGAAAGAAAAAACTGGTCCTGAGAAGGGCGACAGAAAAGTGGCAAAGCCCAAAGTCATCCACTGAGGGCACTACACTACAGACCCTGTACTGGGAATAGCTTTCTTGATAGCCAGGCATTTCGTCTTTCCAGCAAGAGAACAAAGGAGGGGAAAAGCCATGGAGAGCTAAAGAATTTCTAGGATTCTGCAATGTGCAAGAACAAAACTGCAGCCATGACACACAGACCTCCTTGATTTTGTGCGATGATGTGACCAAAACCTGTCTTCAACAAGTGTCAGTGATCTTACCTTCCCAATAAAATAACAAAGCAATAAAAAACAAACACACACACAAACAAAAGCCAAAAGAAAAAAAAAGTGATACAGGTTCTTAAAATCAATCCTACCAAGAAACACTCCAGGGCGTCTGGTTTCCTCCACCTACCCTACCTTGCCCTGGTACTGTTAGAAGAGCTGAACGACCACCCAGTGTAGGCGCTGACCTCTCCTCTGGGAGAGCCACCAGCTGACAGTCACCCGGTGCTACCAAGGATGACCTCTCCTTTTGAGTCAGTGTGTTAGAAGAGAGTTCATTATTAGGATTTATCATAACTCCTTCCATCCTACAACTCTCCACACCCTGTTTCTGTCCATTCCTCCCTCCCCCTACATTCTAAACTCTTCTGCCAGCCCTGTTCAGTAACAAAGCCTTCTGTTTGCAGACTTAAGCAAAATGCTGCTTGAAAAAAAGGTCCTGGGTGCAGATATAAGCTCTGTCACAGTTCAGAAGCACTACAGAATCGAGCTTAAACAATTGCTTGTCCAGGATCTTTACAAGTCATGTTAAAAACTACCCATATTAAAAATAGTTCTGATTAAACGACCTCCCACACCCACTCCATAAACTCCTCCACAGTGTAGGCACCACATAGGATACTGCCTGTCCAGAATGAGGGGACCCTCAAAATTTCTTTTGGAAAAAAGAAATGAGATTTACCCTTTAGTAGAATATCAGTATAAGAATTTAACAAATGTGGCCAGACCAATGGTAATGCAAGATTATGTTCAGATAAGCAGCTAAGTGAACTTATGTTACAGCACAAAATCAAAACAAGATAACGCAAAAAGAAAAAGTGCCTTGGCTCCACATAATTATCTATTGATTTACCTTGAGATATATTGATATTTACTGCCTTCAAGTTTCTTGAAATTGTGAACAAATAATACACAGATCAGGATAAATGTATTGACTTACTACCATCTTTATAAAAATCGAATATACACACAAACACATCAACAATTATGGAACTGTATCCATTAAACTTTGATAAGACAACACAAAAGAACTAACAAATAGCTAAGATGTTGCTGAGTCGAAAGTATGTCCAATAACGTTTTAATTTTAAAAGGTCCATATTTACACAGTATGCTAAATGCTTCTGCATCTCATTTTAATGCATGATAAATAAAGAACAAAGATAATGGTTGCAGCAGATCTTCCACGAGGGTTCAGCTTATGTGGTCTGACATCATTGCCAGAGGTGCAGCAAAAATGGAAATAACATTACTTTCTAATTCTGCTTCTTTCCTTTTCTACAGTTTCCTTCAAGGAAACTAAACCTTTATTACTGGGATTGTCTGGTACGGAGAGTCCATCCTCAATGGTTGTGTGTATTAAGAGAGGCCAGACTGTGTTGTGGCTATTCTAACTGGTGCTGTATGAAAGGCCCACAGGTGGCTTGGCTGATCGTCTTTTGAGAACATATGTCAGGAGCAAGCTTGCTTACATGTGTGTGTGGATAGATGCTGACACACACCTATTCCTGGGAACCCATGTCATACTCAGACAATGCCCAGAGAAGACCATAAAGTAGCCATGAAGTCTGTCTTGAACAACGGCGCCCAAAGAGGATTAGACTTGATTACCACTAACTAGAAAAAAGCATGCTTCAATGCTTACTTCTCAGAGGCAACAAGTAGATTTTCGGTTTTAAAACCATAGCACACTCAGACTATTTCAGAAATCAGTAAAAATCTATTAAACTCATTTTATTGCGTCAGTAAGTCCTCAAAGGTAAAGTGAGTCAGTAAGTCCCCACTGCCCCATGGGCACTGAATGGCTTAGGCCATTCTTAGTGCTTGTTGGGCTGCCAAACTCACTTTAATGCAGCTCTCTGTGGACTGAGCCAAAGCTACACTTTAAATATATATAAAAACATCGTATCTAATTGTGAAGATAACTGGGCAGTGACAGCCCTGTCAACCAGCCACCAGGCAAACACACCTGTCACTTGGACACTCTACTGCAGGTATGGTGAGGCATACAGTAACACCTTCCAGGAGTTAGGGGCTTTCTGGAACAGAGGTGGCCAGGCTCCACAAATGGAAGGTTTTTTGGTATATCCTATGAGTGCCTATAGTTTTCTGGAACCAAAATCTTCTGAAGAGCAGCTATGAACCACCACCTGCATTTTCCAGTGTTACTCTTAAACATACAAAGTCATTTTAGAACCAATGCTACATAAAGTCTCACAGGGTCTGGTATACTCTTTTCCAGTTCTTGATGTTTGTTTTGGTAACTTAATTTGAAAAAGTAATATGAATGTCAACTGTGGAAATAAGACGATCCAAGTCCCCGGACCTCATCCCTTAGCTCCTACTAGAAGGTTAACAGACCCAGAGGGAGGAGTTTGCTCCAGAGAGCTTCAGTGCTCACTCTGGTCCTCACTGGGTTAACCAGAGGCAGTGATAATAAGCTTCTATTTCCCTTAATTCTACTAATAAATTTACCATGAAATCGTAGGTATAAAATACAGCTCAAAAGTCTGAGTATGCCCTAGTATTATTTGCTCAAATACGTCAGGTCTACTTTAGAATATATCCAAAATAGTGAAACTCTTTCATGAGCAGAAATACAATAAGGCACTTTTTTCAGTGTTTGCCTAGAATGAATTTTAGTAAAGGTTGCTTTATGGAGAGTAAGTCTCACCTAAAGGAATCTACCCAGAATGACTAAAAGCAGTTTCAGTGATGACACAAACATTTTATTTTGGGCCACGTTGTCCCTGTAAGACAGCCACCCCCAATGCCACATGCTGTGGAGAACGGCATGTGAGGGTAAGCATCCCTTTGCTCTTCAGGTCCACTGAAGGACAGTGCAGTCCTGCTCAAAAGATCTTAAAAAGGGGGGGGGGGGGTCAATCAAAGCAATGATAAACAGATTCCCAAAGAATGTTATATACATCACAGAGCCAGTGACACAAATATGCCACCTTGGGCTGGATTTAAAAAGAGGAAAAAAACCAAATAGGTCTGTTCAACCTTCAAGCTGTTCCTCAATCTTGCAGGGTAGGAAACCGGGTCAGAGAGCTGCTGGATGAAAGGATAGCAAACGCCCTCCGCTGAGCCACAGAAGTGTGGTGGTGCCTGCCTGGCCTTAAAAAGGGGGGGGGGGGGTGTCAATCAAAGCAATGATAAACAGATTCCCAAAGAATGTTATATACATCACAGAGCCAGTGACACAAATATGCCACCTTGGGCTGGATTTAAAAAGAGGAAAAAAACCAAATAGGTCTGTTCAACCTTCAAGCTGTTCCTCAATCTTGCAGGGTAGGAAACCGGGTCAGAGAGCTGCTGGATGAAAGGATAGCAAACGCCCTCCGCTGAGCCACAGAAGTGTGGTGGTGCCTGCCTGGCTAGTTCGCCACACTCAGGAAGTGTGAAAAGGAGCAGGTAGTGCACCTTGGGACTAGGAACACACAGCTGGCGCTTGTGAAATATTTACAAGAAGCAGAATCTGCCCCTTCAATTGGACCACTCCCACCCACCCATTCCTACCCTGACTTTCCAGGATATGCAAGTCAATCAATAATCACCCAAATTTCAATCTACATTTTTACAAGAGCCTTTTGAGGGCTTTCTGAGAAGACAAGTTAAGCCTGGTTGAGAAAACTATTTTCTAGCCTGCACTGAAGATAAGTGCAACCATTATCAAATATTCTTTGCTGTGAAAAATACTTAGAATTTGTGACACTAATGTTCTTTCCTGAACCTAAGTCACTGTGATCAATCATACAGCAAGATCACGAAGAACAACGTCTACATGCATATTAAGCACATTGAAAACAAAAGAAAATGAAAAACTGGAGTTCTCCGTGGTGACAACAGAATTTGAAGCAATCTAACATCAAACTCTGACTTGCTGTGTCCTGTAAATTCAGCTCTTCTGGAATCAACCCTGTGGCTGGCTGGCGCTCAGACAACAGTTACGGCAAGACTGTAGACTGGAGAGCCCTAAGCTCCCAGGGATCCTGTGCCGGCTGCAGCTTCCTTGAAGAAATTCCACAGTGTGTGTATAGCAGAAGGTCAGACTCTCTTGTTGGAAATCACTCCACAATCAGGGCCACATTTATGTGGGACAAATCTATCATATGCCTGTGGAAATTCAAAGAAACAATCAGCATTAACTCTGCACATCAGCAATCAATTTATCAAGGTGGAAGAAAACTGCAATAGAGTGGTAAGCCCTGTTTAACAAAATCATCCTATATAAAAATGCAGACTTACGGATAAAATCTATAAAAACAAAAGAGGGGAGGGATTGTTCACATGACAAAAGGACACACTGCCTTCTCAGAGGACTCGCTGTGTACTGCTGCAATAATAGAGGGGCACACACACAGAGACCTTGGCAAAGAGGCCTTCCCTCCCACTCCCAAATCACAATTACAGAATACACTGGCTACCTGTGGAATTTCTGTTGAAATGCTAATGCATGGGCTGGTTCCTTGAACTTAGCTATGGCTTTCCGTTGCTGGGGAAGCATCTGTAAACTCTGGAGAAACGAAACAGAGAAATACTTTAATATCATGTTGTAAACGGGAATATATATATACATATTTATGTATACATTATTAGCTTTAATACAAAACTTGAGTCCAGGCTGACCCTTTGATAGCTAAAACAAACTGGCCTCCCTTTCTATCTCCGTTGCAATTTTTCTTACCTATCAAGGTAATCTACTCCAAAGCAGTGCCTCAGTGAGTCATTCCTGCGAGCAACGCTTATATCCTCCATACCTGCTGTTAAGGCCTTCTAGGATCTGGTCACGTCAGCCTGCCAAACTTTCTTTCCGTGAGACCTGGCAGCAGGCAGCTGCCCTTGGATAGAGGCACTTCCTCTTTTCATGACTTTTTGTCAGACAATTCTCAATAGGAGTCCTCACTAATCTTTTTAAAGAATGTTACCTATCACACCAGAGGAAACTGCTGGTTAGTGAGGGGACCCCAAGGTCTGCGGCAGGCAGTGACTCCTAGTTACTACTGGGCAAGGTGAGATTCCCACGCGTCTCATGGGTCACAGAAACCCTTCCATCCTTCCCTGACACAATATGGAAGGGTGGGACTGAAAGAAACAAGAGGCCTCTCTCTGTTTGTATTGTGGAAAAGCTTGAGAAAGCTCGAGAACAAAGGAGTGAGCAAGCGCCAACTCCTACAGGCTGCAGCCACTGAGTCCTTGAGGCCGGGGCGCAGTCTCTCGAGGGGGCCAGCTATTCCCAGAGTGGTATGTCATCCCCTGAGAGGTCGCGTTCAGGTTGTGAGGAGAGCCCCTTGAGATGCAGCAAGTCTACCAGCCTCTGTCTAACACTGCCAGCTGGGGGGAACAGAGACTTGGAAAGCATCTCTCAGAGAAGAAACCTGTCATTCAGGCAGTTCAGCCCAGAGAAGCTCAGGCTGGATGGATCAGAGTGCAACTCACAGGGAAAAGGAAACACGCTCACTGAGTGCCTATTCTGTAGGAGGTGCTTCACTCATGGCTGGCACACATGTGACCTCATCTACCCTGCGAAGCGAGAGTCTGGTGGTTACTTCAATTGTGCAGACCGAGAAAACCTAGGCTCTGCAAAGGTGAAGTACTCTGTGCAAAAGCTGCACACCAAGAAATGACAAATCAGGATCTTAGCTGAAGTCTCCTCTCAAAGCCTAAACTCTTGCTGCTAGGGCCAGCTTCATTCTCAATGGCTAGTGCAGCAACAAAAACTGAGCTGACCTTGGCTAACTATTCTATTCTTAGTGTCACAGGATCGCTGGAAGCAATGAAAAAGGTAGAAAAAGTGAGCAGCACAGTGGCCGGCACACGCAGGCATAACCTGAGCATCGGCTGTTGGTGTGGCCACTGCTCATGCCCAGGGCTGTCCTTTGAATTTTATTGAGAATCCCAACAGAGAAAGTTATATTTACTCGTGAGTGACTGCAAACGTTATGCTCTTGTGAGAAGACTATTTTTTGTTTTACACTATGGAGTTTCATTTATTACAGGATAAAAATGTTCTTTTTGGGGGACCTAGGATACATTTTGCCCTCCTGTCCGTGGACATCAGAACTTGAGACTCCTCAGCCTTTGGGTTCCAGGACTTACACCAGCAGCACCTCTGGGCTCTCAGGCCTTTGCCTCAGACTTCCCTGGTTCTGAGGCTTCTGGACTTGGACTGAACCACACTACCAGCATCCAGTCTGCAGATGGCCCATGGTGAGATGCTCAGCCTTTGTAATCTGGGCTCTCAGGCCTTTGCCTCAGACTTCCCTGGTTCTGAGGCTTCTGGACTTGGACTGAACAACACTACCAGCATCCAGTCTGCAGATGGCCCATGGTGAGATGCTCAGCCTTTGTAATTGTGTGAGCCAATTCCCCTAAGAAATTCCCTTTTATTTAAAAAACATTTTTTTTTCTTTTCCTCTTAACACAATTTTAGGCAAAACCCAACAAACAGGGAAATAAATATAAATCAGCAAAGAGGCCTCAGAACTTACAATGAACGTACTTCCTGATCCTGACAATCCACTGGGTTTCACTGAGGCTGGAGCAGGAGGTTATAGTTCTCCCCTAGACAAGGCTATGACCCAGAGGACCTGTGCGGCTCCTGAACACCTGGGCTGTGGAGCCCGCCGGCTCTGACAGACACCCACCTCCTCCAGCCCTGAGAAAAGGCTGGGCACCCCTGCAGCCCCACCCACCTCTCTCTTCTAGGCAGAATCTTCTTTCTGACTCATTCAACAGCAGCGTTCACGAGCATCACATGGCTCGTTCTTCTTGCACCCTCCCTCACCTGAAATTCTGAGGTACACTACAACGCACACTTGTGGTCATTTTTACCTTCCAATTATTACATTTCTGCAAAAACCTTACCATTCTTCCTTACTCTGTACATAATGAGTCTACAGATAAATGTCTTTGAAATAAATTTTCCAGAGAGGCTTATGAATACAGTTTTAGGAAGTAAAATGCTAATTGAGAGCAACACTGACTACGTGACTGCTTCGCTTAAGAAACTTCTCAGATTCCATGGTTTTGAGAAGTACAGTTAACATGTGGTTACTAGAATTTTCTACAACAGGGGTCCCTCTTCATCTAGGGGACAATACTCCTTGCCCTTATGCTAGTGAACATTCGGTGCTGCCACATCCCAAAGCACATGGCGACTTGACATTCTATTCTAAAACATTTATTCCCAAAACACACAGAAATACACTTTTTCTACCTGAAACCAGGAAGGTGGCGCTGAAGCCTTGGGTCACTTAGCACTGTCCCTTTAGGGTACTTTAAAGTATATATTTAACCACTATGAAGTGTTGTTATGAACGTCTCTTTAAAATTTACAGGAGGGCATTTCAAAAAGTCTGTGGAAAAATGAAATTCAAAGATAATACAAATCTTTCCATAAGCTTTTTGAAGTACCCTCATACTTACCCATATCATTTGTTTAGCTATCTAATGCTGGCAGAAGCGGGTTATATCATTTTTTTTTTTTTATTACAAAACCTGGCATTTTGTGCATGCAGTATTTTAAAGTCTATAAATGCCCATGCAAAACCATCCCATGGACTGAGAGGACTCTGCTTTGTTCCTGAGGCAGAAAGAAGAAGCCCCCGCCCAAGGCTCAATTCACCCCTACTCAGGATTCATATACTGGCAATCTTGCAAATAAAACAAGTAGTGTGATAAGAAAAAACGTTGTATGTATGTGTGAACTTAATAATCTGAGGATTCGAAAGGATAATTTGTTTAGTTGGAATATTTATGTCTTAAAATTTATAACTAAGAATCTGAAAATTTCAAAATAATCAAACTCACAGGCAAAAGTTCTGATATCAAGTGTGCCCAGCAGATATTTATCTTCCTTCTCAAGTATCATTTTAAGTAAATTCTTTTTTTTTTTTTTTTTGGTGGCTGGCCAGTACAGGGATCTGAACACATGACCTTGTTATTACAAGGCTGTGCTCTAACCAACCTGAGCTTACTGGCCAGCTTCCAGTATCATTTTAACATGAAGTAACCAACATAATGGGTACTGGATTTTAAATCAAGAGATGAGCCATGCCCGGGTGCCCTACCTGGATGGGTCCCACAGACATCAGTAGGCTCTTCAGCTGGGCATCGGTCGTGGACGATGACAGACCCTCCACAGACACCACGCAGGGCTGCGGCTTGCATTCCACCACCCGCAGATTCTGTTTGTTGGGCATCAGGCGCCCCCGGCCCATGGGACCTGCCACTCCTCTGCCTCGTCCGTGCATGAGGGCCTGGCAACACAAAGCAAAGGCACTCTCACTTTTGACAGCTACTAAGATATAAAAGTGAGCAAGTCACAGAATCTATTAACATATACCAGAGCTACAGGATTTTCTGCAGTACATGACACAGTAAGTCTAGGTGGAGGACAGGAGGGGACTGATGACGCCTGAATCTCTCATGCCACACAGTCGCACTCAGCAGGTACATGGTGTGTTATCACCTTTCTGGAGTTGAAGTGACCACAGGGATTCAGAAACTTGTGAAGAACACAGTTCAGGATTTGCCTCCAGTCCTAACAGCCCCAAAGGCCAAATCTTTCCCATGTATAGCAGGAGTACCTCCTTATCTGTGGTTTTGTTTCCCTTGGTTTCAGCTACCTGTGGTCAACCGCAGTCCAAAAATATTACAGGATTTTGAGAGAGAGAGAGCACATTCACAAAACTCTTATTACAGTATATTGTTATAATTATTCCATTTTATTATTACTGTTGTTAATCTCCTACTGTGCCTAATTCATAAAATAAACTTTGTCATAGGCATGTACGTACAGGAAAAACAGTAAACATATATAGGATTCGGTACTGTCCAAGGTTTCAGGCATCCAATGAGGGTCCTGGGACGTGTCCCCAATGGATAAGGGGGGACCGCAGTATAGTCCGGTTCCAGTGGAGACCTGCTCTGTACAGTGCTCAATCTACCTTAGAGTCACAAGCCACAGCATAACGTACTCAACTCATCTTGTAAAGAACTACATTTGCTATCCCAAAAACCTCAAAGGCAGATTCTGCAACAAGGGTTTCACCTATGGCTGCACATTACAATCATCTGCACAGCTTTAAAAAACAAACAAAAAGCCACCACAACAACTGAGTTACCTCTGCCAACCCCCAATTATGACTTCCCTGGTCTGAGGCAGGGCCCAGACATTATCATTTTTTAAAGCTGCACAGGGTTCAAAACCACTGCTCTAGAATGTGTTAAAAGAGGGGAGACAGCTGATGTTTCCAGCGTTGTCTCCTGATTAGGAATGAGAGAGCGCCCTGTGGCCGACCTCTCCAGGGTGGGAGAGCAGGAAGTGCAGAAGGCGGGGTGGTGCTGAACAGCATGAGGCCTCCACACGCCCACCCTAACTTCCTCTTACAGTCTGGGCAGAAAGGGGCAAGAACAGCCTCCCAGTCCACCACAGAAAAGAGCAGAATGGAAAGACAACTGAATGCATGGGCACCAATACAAAGGCAAGCTGAGGGGAGGCCTCTGCAGAAGGGAGAGCACTCCTGGAGGTGGGTTTTGAAAAAGCATACAAGGATATTTCAAGAGAAGCCACATAGGAAAACACATCAAAAGATGCAAGTTACTCTGGCTGGAAACCAGTGGCAAATACCTATTCTTTGGTTCTAGCTATAATAAGTCATAATATTAATAAATAATATCCTCTACCAAATGCTTACTCATACGTCAGGAACCAGGTTTTTTATATGCATATTCTTGTAAAATCCTCACAATAGTTTAAGTAAGAGAGGAAACACCATTATCCTCATTAACAGGAGATCAAATGAGGTGTAAGAGGAAACTCAAGTTTATGGGGGTGTATTTTTCTTTCTCATCATATAGTCAGGCATAATACCTAAATGAAGAAAATTCAGACTGGAACAGTCTTTAAAGACTGTTATCACTTTATCACTGAAGACATCACTTAATGTATCTTGTATATCCGTCTTCTGCAACAAAATGGAAAATTTTTATTTGCTCCTACACCAAAAAGTGTTAATGAGATAAATATATATACAAAGCAATGTAAATACTTCATAGAAACCCAGGGTGCTCTTGACATCAACATCACTACTTGGAAGCACGATGAGCAGGCGGATGACCAGCACATTCCCAGCCATTCTGGAAGAAATGCGGAGTGATGCTGCCTCCCTCTTTCTCCCTTGCTCCAGTTCCATCACATAAGCGATGTCAGCTTCTGCACCAGGAGGGGACTTTACTCTCAGGTCATCCTTGTCCCTCCTATAGAGGCATAAGGACTTGGGGGAAACGAAGAAGCTGCCCCTTGCAAGAAGCTGAGGGAAAAGGGCGCTGTCACTAATACATAACGTGACAAGATGGACATACGTCCTGCACAGAAAAGGAGACCGGCCACTCCACAGAAAGGTGTCCAGGGATGCCCATGCTTCCTGCCTGACAGACTGAGGTCAGAAAGCAACATCCTCCAATCCACAGAGCAAGGGCCTCAGCCTCCTGTCTCTCAACGGTAATAAAATCGGTAAGTGCACAGCTGGTTCCACATCTGTGAAGTTTCTGGTAATCAGTGAGTAGAGGAAGGAGAGCGCACTCATGCTGGGGCACACGCGTGTGCCCGTGTGCTGTCTCCAGAGTGCAACACAGAGCTGCGGGTGTACCGCTAAGTAGTCAAGAGAAGAAAAGGCACTGGTGAAAACATTAATGTGTTTTCATAGCCAGAACAAAGCAAATGATGGTTCGTATTGCTGTGTGCCAGGTATGGCAAATCAGAGAAACCCTCTAAATGTCAACTTTTCTTAACTAGTGGGATATCTAATGTGCACAGAACAAGCCTTTGCACTTCCGGTGCCATGGGCTAGGAGACAAGCAGTACCTTCTTTGCCGGGTGAATTCCTTGGATGCTTTTGATCCCTGGAGGAACAGCCGAGTGCATGTGGGGCACCACCGGCAGGTGCTGGGGCTGCTGAAGGCCCCCCTTGGTCAGAGTCACCTTGCGGGCGGGCTGCGCTCTCTCTTCTGGAGGCTGAGGGAGTCGTGGGGGCTGGCCGTCTGGGTGAAAACAGCCGTCGCTCTCTCCTCCCTGCTGAAAGCAACACAGCAGCAGGCTGTTCACTCTCTGCTCCACTAACATTCCTCCCCCAGTGCGAGCCATCTCAAACAAGTATAAAACCAAACTTATCATTTCACTAGTAAGGAAATTTATCATTGGATCGTGATTAGATTTTAACAATATTTTTGAAATTTAAAACACTAAGATCTCCTTTAATTACTGTATCCATTTAAGAGGTCTGTGATTAAAATAAATGCTGCTTAATTCAGTGAAATACTGCTTAGCCTTAAAAATACTTCACATTCAACATGCATGTTTTATTTTCAAGAGCATTCTTGTTACAATTTGACAGTGGGCATCTATGGTGGTTAAAACTTTTAGCTCCTGGTACAAGCCTCACCTAAGTGGGCACTCAGCCTGACTCCCGCTGGCTACAGCTATGACTCTGGCACGTCCCAGTGTCCTTCCCCTATGGATGCAGCAACATCAAGCATGCTGTACTCTTTAGTACTATGTTCCTAAGTGTTGAAGAATGTCCCAAAACCACAAGCTAGAAACTCTTCCACCTCCTGCTGAGTGTTACAAGTGTCACTACCAGCTACAGAAATAACAGAAATATCACCCCATGTCTTACTAATGTTCTCTCATTTCTTGACCTTAGAGTTTGTTAATCAATTAGGAAGCAAGTACACATTCGAGCTGTACTGCTAACGTTGCTCACACCAACAGACGGCATAAACAGTATCTCAGAATGGTGCCCATCAGCTACTTTCACTATTAAGCCTAGCGCCTTTCTGAAAGAATAGCTGGGGAAAGAGTGGATGGCAAGAACATCAGGTCTTGCCCTGCTAAATTATGTGATTAATCTTAATAGAAATGGATGCCTGAACTTGAAAAGTAAGATTAAGCCCTACCCCTAACATAAACAGGCATTTATCAGTCATTGGTTAGGAAACCCTCCTCACACAGACTGCTCAGCTATGCCAGCATTTCAAACGATAACTTGGTAGATTAGCTCGGAAGAAGCCCATACACCCATGTCTCACCTTCTCTCCCCAAAATTACCTTTTGAAGACCATTTAATGGAAGAAAGGGCTCTGCAAAGAGAAGGAACAGGGCCTGGAATGAGGCGGGTGCAGATCCGGTTTTTGCTAAGACTGCCTGAAGTAATAAGAACTCAAGAAAAGATGAGATTAAAAACGTCACACAGGGGCAAGACTTCTGGCCATGTCAACATGAGGAGGCTGGCAAATCTCTCCCCAAAACAAGTATAAAACTGGACAAAATTGCCCAAAACCACTTCAGAACCCTGGAGGTGGATGGAAGTGAAAGAGCAACTGGGCAAGCACTCCTTCCGGAGCCCGGAGAGCAGAGCCATCTGCGGCCTCTGGACACGGCTCCCCAGCAGAGATGGCCGCTGTGTCCGTGCGGGGCTGGGCAGGAGCCCAGAGGGGCCCGGACTTCACAGCAGCACCATCAGTCAAAGCAGGAAGCCCACGGATCTGTGAGCCTCTGGTCATGGCCCCATTTGAAACAAGTAGCAGACCAGCCAGAAATCTGAAAAACCTAATGAGGAAACTCTGGAACTGACAGATCCACCAAAGGCCCAGAGGAGCTCTCCCCACATGGCCGCCTAGAAGCTGACGGGAAGTAAGAGCGCCAACCCACACCAGACCCCTAGCTGCAGGTGGCCGTGCAGCAGCAGGGTGGACCCCTAGGACCCCAGGCTAAGAAACAAACATAAGAATAGAAAAGCTGAACAAAAAATATTTAAACTGAATGAAAATGAAAACACAAAATATCAAAAGTTAGGGGATGCAGCTTAAGCAGTCATATCAAAAAAGAAGAAAGATCTAAAATCAATAATTTTGAGTTTTTACCTCAAAAAGCTAGCCCTCTCCTCAAAAACAGGAAACCGAACCCAAGCAGAAGGATAGAAATGATAAAGATCACAGTTAAAGGCAATGACACAGTGAACAGAAAAATAGAAAATCAGTAAAAGCAGAAGGTTTTTCAAGATCAACAAAACTGATATTCCTATAATTATACTGAACAAGAAAAAAGGCAAGACAATGACAAAAGTCAGAAAACAAGAGGGATCACCACAAGAGACCCCACATATTAGACAACTTAGACAAGTGGACAAATTCCATAAAAGATTCAAGCACCAGAACTGACTTAAGAAGAAAGAGAAAATCTGGATAGACCTCTAAGAAGTAAAGAGTGAAGTAACAATTAAAAACCTCTCACAAAGAAAAACATAGATCCAAACAGTTTCATCAGTGAATTCTATCAAATATTTAAGGAAGAAATACTACCAAACTTACACGATCTTTTTCAGAAAACATATGAGGAAGAAATACCTTCCCACTCATTCTTTCAGCCTGCTATTACCTTTCTACAAAAGCAAAAGACATCAAAAGAAAAGACGACTACAGAATACCTCTCATAAGCATAGACAGAAAAAAATCCAGCAATACAGAAGAAAGGTCACATGTCATGACGAAGTGATCCATCCCAGCAATGCAAGGTTGGTTTAACACCCCCAAATTAACTCATGTCACATACCATATGAATAAAGGACCACATGATCATCATCACTGCTGTGGATGACTGAACCAGGTGGGTTCTCTCCCCCCTCACATTCTGTGACTCTCTAATGTGTATTATAATTGCTTAAGATGTGCTGGTCTTACTGGGAGTCACTCCTATTCTTACTGGGAGTCACTCCTGTTCTTACCGGGAATCATTCCTATCTTACGAAGAGATATTCCACAAATGAAAATGGAAGCATTGTGAAAAGGCAGACCACTGGCAAGACCGTGATCCACACAAAAAGTCAGGCTGGTGGTTTGTACTTCTTGAAACTTCTCCACAAGGTCTTCAACCCAAGGTGTGAACAGGCATCCCAACCCAGCAGGAATGGCTTATTCTAAGTGCACAATTTTTCAAAGTTTTTAATCTTAAAAAACTTATGAGTTTTCTGTTTTATACATGCTTGAAATTTTCTATACTAAAAAGTTTTAAAATTTAAGGATGTATACTGCACTTCCTCATCTTTCTTAAGAGCCAGTGACCTGTCACCTATTAATTTATCTAAAATCCTATTGAAATGTAGTTCCCGGCAGTGTAAACTTAGTGCAAGATTCATAAATTCACTATGCATGTGTTAAGTCAGACCGTCTCCTTTCTACATACACTAATATTTCATATTAGCTTTCAGGTTCCATGAGGTCCCACACTGGATGGAGGCTACACCAAACCACTGAATTCTCCACACCAGACCATTGAATTCTCTGCACAGCTCAGACCCACAAGTCTACTGACTGTGATTCTCCAACTACTATCCTTTTCACTAACATGGATAAATGAATGGACTGTGGAAGTTCAACTATCTAAGAAAGTCTTCCACTGTACGGACTTAAGTAATCTACATAAGCTCCTTGGTAGCTTACCTGTCTAGGTATCTAATAAATACCCAGAGCATATGCTATCCTATAAGCGTTCTAGAGAAACCAGTGATTCAGGCCCTAGTTAAGTCCATTTTGTTTGCCATGCCGAAATGTCTTAAGAGCACAGAAGGCGCTGAAATATTTATTGAACTAATCAATAAGTAGTAGACTGTACTTTTAAAAACTGAGTAGTTCTGAATGTGCTAAAAAAAAAAAAAAAAGACAATAGTATCAGAATACTAGATTACGGCCATAGTCAATCAGCACATACATATTTACTAAAATTCACCATGAAAATAAAAAGGCCAAACCTCCAGCCCAGCAATCCACTATGTATATGAGAAAATATTACACTAGATGCAGAAAGAGATGAGACAGCACCCTTGGCCTAAAGGGAACAATGTCCATACAATACAATGGACAACAAGGTGAATACTCTGGTCTTTTTTTCTTTAGCAATCCAAGGTGAAAACAAGACGATCTACAGAGTACTTTAAAAGAATAGCTTGCACCAAAACTAGGATGCCATTATTTGCCTATTTTAAGGTATACAATGTGTATATGTATTTGGGTGATATAAATACATAACACTGTCATAACCTGATGATTTTTAAACTGGGAACTGGGAACATAAACATTTAGTCAATAACACCCCAAATAATAATAATTCTCTCATTGTTATTTTGGGTAAGAGACTGGAGATAATTTATGTCTCCTAGTATTAATGTCAGATAAGAACCCTGAAAAGCAAACTTCTAAACTTTTATTTTCCTTTCAAGGCAAGTTTACTTTTTTAAAGTAGGCTTGATCCCTATTTAAAATTCAGAAATACAGGTATTAAAAAAATTCTCTCCTTTCTTCATCTCTTGCAAGAAAAACTCAAACTTCCTAATGTAGAGTGGAGTATTAGATCTTGTGACATAAAGAAAGAGTCCCTGGAGTCATGGCTCATTTAGGACTTGCTAAGAAATGGTCTGAACAGACAGGAGACAAGACTTATGATGGAATCTGCTCCCTGGTGCGGTGGCCGCTCACTCCCTCCTGTGCAGAGGCACTGGCCTGCCTGCCGTGTCCCCAAACTGGGTCTGTCTGTGCCCTCCTCCCATTCAGGAAGCTCTTTGCCAGCTGCCTGCCTGGCCTGCTCATTCATGGAGGCCTCTGCCCGACACACTCTCCAATCCTAGGGTGATGCTGCACACAGCTCACAGCACTCATCACTGCTATGATTACAGCATGTGCTTGCTTACTAGAGGTGCTGCTCACCAGTGTCCTGAGGACAGAGAATGGAGCCAGGCACCGAGCAGGCAGACACCCTGTATCTGTTGAGTCTGTGATGAACACAGAATGTGGGACGCTTCACACACACTGTGATGGTGACTTTCCAACCTTGAGGAAAAACTGGTCCTATAAACTGCTTAGTGAAAAGTGGGGGGAAAACCCTGCCTGGGTAAGTTCTAGAGCTCTATATTCAAGACAAGTTTTTTACACCTTCTATAGCTACAAATTACATAATATAACTTTACAGCAGAAATTTCCAAGGTAACTAGGATATTAGAGTTTTGGCATCATTCAACATATTCCACTTGTTATTAGCTGTGGAGTGTTATTACTTGTTGAATGTCTATGATATGTCAAGAAATGTAATAGGGTCTGTACAGACATTGTTTTCCTTCAACCTCCCTACAAGGCAAATTATTATTCCCATTTTGCACATGAAACAAACTGAGGCCTTTAATCAGACAGAAGTGCAGGAACATCTCCATGGCTCCAAAGATATGACTCCACACTGCCTCCTAGGGGAGGAACTTTCACCAACATATTTTGTAACTACATATTTTCAGTAAGAGTTGAAACAAAAGGGATTAACCATCATTCAATTAAATCATTTTAATTCTATAAAAGGCTACCACAATGCTGTGCTTTTGAATTTTTCTGAAGATCATGATAAGTATTCGAGACTTAAACATAAGTAAGTTATTTCATTTTGTAAGAAAAATTGAAAAAGAAATTTCCAAGTGTGAGAGCAAGTATTTCCTTTCAATCTAGCACAATACAAAGCTAATTCTAGGTGAAAATTTAAAATCCCTGGGTTATTCCAGTCAACACTAGGAAACAGTTAACTTGTACCTTAGTAGGGTGTTGCATAGGGAACATATTTTTATACCCATACTCATACACATTTGGACAGCCAAGCCAAATTATAAATAAAAGTCTCATATAATCTATGCATATAGTTACAGTATTGAAAAAGACCCTAAAATTATTAGCACTTAGTTATGTAAATTTTAAAATACTGTTGATTCAAATTAGAAATTTTAGAAACCTGTTATCTTAATGTAAACAAATAAGTGGCCTTGTTGTGCATGGCAGGTAACGTTCTTCTCATAAAAGGTAAGTTCACTTTGAAACTAGATTTCTCCAGGGCTGTACGGTTCACTTTTTAACTCTTTACACAGAGTATGTTGCATACAATTTAAAATATCTTCCTCTTCCTCCAAAACGGATGAGAAAAAAAGCAGCTTGGCTCCTCTTAGACCAAATCAGAAACATTTTGTTGGTTTTTTTTCCACAAATGATTATCTTTTAATGAATACTATAAAAATGTCTTTTTAAACTAGTGTTTGTTTTCTAAAAAATTATATGGGGCACTATCTGAATTAAATAACCTTAGGGAATACTTTTTATCAGCTTAATCATTACAAAAAATGG